GCTCATCCCGTCAAGTGTCCCCCTCAGTGCCCATCACCCATTCACCCCCACCCCACGCCCTCCTCCCCCTCCACCACCCCTAGTTCATTTCCCAGAGTTAGAAGTCTTTATGCTCTGTCTCCTTTCTGATATTTCCAACACATTTCTTCTCCCTTCCCTTACACTCCCTTTCACTATTATTCATATTCCCCAAATGAGTGAGAACATACACTGTGTCCTTCTCCGATTGACTTACTTCACTCAGCATAATACCCTCCAGTTCCATCCACGTTGAAGCAAATGGTGGGTATTTGTCGTTTCTAATGGCTGAGGAATATTCCATTGTATACATAAACCACATCTTCTTTATCCATTCATCTTTCGATGGACACCGAGGCTCCTTCCACAGTTTGGCTATTGTGGACATGGCTGCTAGAAACATCGGGGTGCAGGTGTCCTCTGCAATAGTTTTAATTGGCTTTCTCCTAATGACTAATGATGTTGGGAATATTTAATGGTTTTTAGTTATTCTTACATCCTCCTTGGTGAAGGATCTGTTCAGATTTTTCGCTCATTTTTTAATTGAATATGTTCAGATTTTTCGCTCATTTTTTAATTGAATAGCTTATTTTCCTTTTGAGTTATGAGTACTTTAAATAACCAGATACAAATCCTTATAAGATACAAAACATTTTCTTTTAATCAGTAGCTTGATTTTCATTTTCTTAATGATGTCTTTTCAAAAAGCAAATATTTAAAAAAATTTGAGGCCATCCAGCTTATCAGTTTTTTTTTCCTTTGCATTTTGGGCTTTTGGCTTCATAGCTAAGAAGTGTTCACCTAACCTAAAAGAGCAGAGGTTTTCTCTTATGTTTTGTATTGCATCACTTATACTTAAGTATTTGAATTCACCAGTGAATCCATTTGGGCCTGGACTTTTCTTTGTAGAAAGATTTTGGTTTAATTTCTTTTTAGATTTCATCTTAATTTCTATACCCAACATGGGGACTCAAACTTACAACCCCAAGATCAAGAGTCACATGATCTTCTGAGAGCCAGCAGAGTGTTTCTGTAGAAGGATTTTAATGTACAGTCAACTCTTGAACAACATGGGAGTTGGTGGCACCAAACCCCCTGCACAGTTTAAATCCGTAACTTTTGACTCTCCCAAAACTACTGAGAGTCTGTGTTGACTAGAAGCCTTACCAGTAACACAAACAGGGATTAATACATTGTTTGTATAAGTATTGTATACTGTATTCTTGCTATAAAGCTAGAGAAAAAAATGATCTTAAGAAAATCATAAGAAAAATTTATTTACAGTACTCTATCAGAAAAAAAAAATCTATATATATGTGGACCCATACAGTTCACACTCATGTTGCCCAAGGGCCAACTATAATAATTTTACTTGTTACACATCTGTTATGGGTTGAATTGCAATCACCCAAAGAGCTATGTTTAAGTCCTAACCCCCAGTACCTCAGAATGTATTATTTGGCAACAGGCCATTGCAGATGTAACTAGTCAAGGTAAGGTCATACTGGAGATGGGATTCCTAGTGTCCTAATAAGAAGGGGAAACTGGTACATGAAGGGAGAAGGCCATGTGGTGTTGGAGGTGGAGACGGATGTGATGCAGTTGCAAGCCATGTAGGGCTTTGGACTGCCAGCAAACCATCAGAACACAGTCAAGGAAGGATTCTCTCCTACAGGTTTCAGAGCAAGTGTGTCCCTGCTGCTACCTCAGTCTTGCACTTCCGTCTTCCAGAAATATGAGACATAAATTTCTGTTGTTCAAGCCACCCAATTTGTGGTACTTTGTTGTGGTAGCCCTAGGACATGAATGCAAACTACAGATTTTCTGTTTTCTTGATTCATTTTTGGCAGTTTGTATCTTTGTAGGCATTTGTCCAACTCAACTACATTGTCCAATTTGTTGGCATAGCCTTTTAAAATTTTGGTAGGGTGGGGAGTGATATACTTTTTTTTTTTTTTTACTTTCATTCCTAATGTTGGCAATCTGTGTCTTCTCTTTTTTCCAGGGGGGTGGGGGTGGGGGGTGGGTGGGTGGGATGGGGGGGTGGGCTACCAAATAAAGTTTTGACAATTTTATTGATCTTTTCAAAGAGCCAGTTTTTATTTTATTTTTCTCTTCTGTTTCACTGGCTTCTAATATGAACAATATTCCCTCCCACTTGCTTGCTATGGGTTCACTGAGTTGCTCTTATTTTTCTAGTTCTTAAGATGAGAGTCTAGATTATTAAAATCCTTTTTCTTTTTAAAGTAGTAAATACCCTTCAAATCACTGTTTTAGCTGCCTCCCAAAATTCAGTGTTTTCATTTACATTCAGTTAAAAATATTTCCTAATTTCCTTTGTGACTTCTTTGGCTCTTGAGTAATTTAATTTCCAAATATTTGGGGATTTTCTATGTTTTTTTTTTCCTATTGTCTATTTCTAATTTCATTGTAGCCATAGGACATGGTTCCATTATAGAACGTGATCCCAATCCTTTTAAATTTATTGACACTTGTTTTATGACCTAGCATATTGACTATCCTGAAGGATATACTTAAAAAGAATATAAATCCTGTGATCATTAAGTATAGTGGTCTATATACGTATCAGGTTGGTAGTGTCGTTCAAGGCTTCTACATCCTTAGTGGCTTTCTGTCTACACCCTCTACCCATTGAGAATAGGATATAGAAGTATCAAACTATTATTGTCTATTTTTCCATTCAACTCTAACCATTTTTGCTTCATGTATTTAGGGTTCTGTTGGTGGACACATGTACATTTCTAACTGTTATATCTTCTTGATGTATTGACTCTGTATGACATGTGTCTTTAGAAGTATTTGTCTTAAAGTCTATTATGTTAGATTATCAGCAAAGCCATTGCAAATTTCTTAAGGTTACTGTTTGCATGGTTTAGCACTATTTAATTGTTGGTCTTATCATCATAATACATGATGCAACTTTGTACTTATTTTTATGGCTCTTAAATTGTTCTTGAATTAATTTGCAAGCTTTTTCATAATAAGCTATAAATTCTTTGATAAGTTTTATACATCTTTTGGTAGTGTTGGGTATAACACTAAATGATCCATTAAAAGCAATTGGATACCAAACAAGCTCCTCTTTAAAAAAAAAAAAAATAATGCAGTTGTGTTATTTGCTCATGGTGTTGTTGCTTGATGTCTTCGCTCCTCAAGCCAGGCTTTGAAGCTGTTACCACAACTCCTCTATTTGTGTGCAGGGACCACATTTTAGGAACAGTCATTTGCATCAAACGGCTTAATCCCAGGTATTGCTGCTTTTAAACCTTTTATAAAATTAGAAAATCGTTCAGATCATTAGACGGGTCTGGAATATTACACGCAACGTGTACAATGCTTTTTCTCATGATTAAGATGAGTACTTTGAGTGTTTAGGAATCATCTTACAAAGTAATGTAACGACTGTATAAATTTAATGTTAAAGGTCTTCTTCTGGGACTGAATCTTTGTATTTTGTTCTATTTGTTATGAAAGCCCTACCTCAGTGAAAGGATGCAGGACTGTCTCATGTTAATGTTTAAGATGTACAATTATTATCTAAATGATGTTTGCCAATTTAAATAGGACGCAAGTATACATGATTTCAAAAGGAATTAAAGTTCTGGTCTGCTGAATCATATAGGACAAAAAAAGGTCATTTTTAAAAAGATAGATTTTTTCTGTCCTCTTAAATGTCTATGAAATTTTTCACTTATAATATCTGAAATGGAACGTAATTGCCTAAGTATATTCTTAACGTCTCTATATAACATTTCTGAGATCACTCTAATCTTGGGACTTCTTAACTTGTGGCTCCCTTAAAATTACTTCCGTATTTGGTGGATTAAGAGCAAGAAAAATGATGCAATTATAGGAAGGTGCAAGAGATGTGAGGGAACTGAAGATGGGATTGGTATTAATTGATGAACATGATCATGATCAGAAGGATAAATGGAGACCTCTTCTTTTTGAAGAATTACTTTTTTTTTTTTGCAGAAAAGTATATAAAATACTTCTATATGCAATTCATCTACTCCTCATCCTCCTTCAGTTGGCTTTCGAGGAAGGCAGTTTCTCATCATCAGCCAAGCTTTCTGATCAGCATATTGCTTTCAGAACAAAGGGGTAACTTGTGAGACTCAAAGAATACATGCTTGCAATTTCCTAAGAATCTTTTCTCTCACTAGAAAAATCTATTACGGTCCCCTGTACGTGAGCCAAATTTTCACTGAAATTCCAAACTCCAAAACGAACATTTCCACGAAGAGTCCTTGCAGTAACCGGTAACAAAAGACCATGAAAACTCTTCTGATTCTGGGATCCCAGGGTGGCGCAGCGGTTTGGCGCCTGCCTTTGGCCCAGGGCGCGATCCTGGAGACCCGGGATCGAATCCCACGTCGGGCTCCCGGTGCGTGGAGCCTGCTTCTCCCTCTGCCTGTATCTCTGCCTCTCTCTCTCTCTCTGTGACTATCATAAATAAATAAAAAAAAAATTAAAACAAAAAACAAAAAAACTCTTCTGATTCAGGCAGTTTTCCTGTAGCCTCGCTACACACAGCTGCCGCAACCTCCAATACACACAGAACAGCGTACCACCGCCTGCATTTGGATTCCTCCGTGAAAAATGCGTTGTCTTCCTCCTCGTTCCCAGAAAATTGCACACGTACAGGCTAGTAGGATAGCTTCCTCCTATTGCAGGGTGTGTGTAAATGACGGACAGCATTACCGCATTTAACCGGACTCCGACTGGACAAAAAAACCTGTTTCACGGTAGAAGCACCGCCTCTAATTAAAATAGCATCAAAGGGATACCTCCGCTGCAAAGCTTCACACCTGGAGCCCTTAAACGGGCAAACGGACCAATAAACGCGGGCTGCAGCCTAAGCGTTGGGGCGTGGGCAGCACACCCACGACCCCGTTGGCGTGGCCTGCTTTGCGACCAGGGCTCCGCCGGCGCCCCACGCAGCAGCAGGACCTCGCGGCGCAGATGCAACCGGAAGGCCGGCTCCTTGGCCGCAGCGGGTCCTCTCCGCTCGTCCGCACGTCCAGTCCCACGCCGCTCCTTGGCTTCACGCGTGCGTAGGCGACCAACATCTACGGCACGAAGGAATTTTATCCGCGTGTCGCTCGGGGAGGGTACGGAGAGGGTACAGGCTCCGCACACCGCGCCGCGCGGGAACCTCCCGGGAGCCCCCGCCGGCCGCACGCGCGGCGCACGCCCAGCCAGCAGCGGGGAGCGGAGCGCGGGCGCGCACCTGCGCATGCGCGGAGGGAGCCCGGCCCGCCCACTTTACGTCCCCCTCCAATCCCCGCCCTGCAAGCCCCGCTGCGCCAGCCACGTCACCACCGCCCCGCCCCGCAGGCCCCGGGGACCTGGAGCGCTCGGTATCCGGCGCCTGTGCGTGATGACGCACACACGCGCCACGACGTGGGGACGCAGGCGGGTCGTAGAGAGCGTGAGTTTCTGCGTCTGTTCGGTGCCCCTCGCGTCGTCGGTGCTGCCCGGTGCGTCTCGGGCGGCGGCGCCGGGCGGGGAGGGGAGGCGGGGCGCCGGGCGGCACCTGCCGGGGGCGGGCCGCGCCGGGGGCCGGGTTGGGGGCGCGCTGCCGCATCCCCGGCGCCCCGGGGCCAGTCCGAGGGCCGGGCGGGTGCTTCCGGAGGCCCGTGGAGCGGGGGCCCCGCGGGCCGCCCCCGGGTGTCTCCGTGGGGCGGGCCGTGCGGGGGACGACGCTCGGGGGGCCGCTCGCTGGGAGCCGTAGGAGATTCCTTCCGAAAGCAGGAACGTTGAAAGTGAGGTTGCATCAGCAGCAGCTTGCACTGTGAGGTGCTGGAAGAGTAGCTCCGCTCCGCTGGGCGGGCTGCGGCCGGCGGGACCCTGATGCCAGAGGTGGGGCTCCCCTTAGTGGGGGGATGGGAAGGCCGCCCGCCCGGCCGCCCGCCCGCCCGGCCGCGCATTTAGCCCCGTGCTCTCGTCCCGCCTTAGAAGCCCGTCCAGAAACGGACCACAGGCCTTCCCCTCCTCCAAACCGCGCACGGACTTTTGAAGACTCACGATGGCTGTTAGAAGGAATTAATTGGCGTTGTCACGGTTCAGTCGCCGAGTGCGGTGGGCCTCTGCGGGAAACTCGGTGACGGCTGGGCTGTCCTGCCCTTTTTTTTTTTTTTTTTTTTTTTTTTTAGTTCTTGGCAGTTGCTTCTTGAAAGTGTAATGTCTGGCATCTTATTTATTTAGTCAATTCCACCAAACTATAAATCTAAAGAATTATTACTATTATTGTTATTTAAGATTTTATTGACCCATGAGAGACCCAGAGAGAGGGGCAGAGGCAGGGCGTGAAGCGGGACTCGATCCCAGGTCCCCGAGATCAGGACCTGAGCCCCAAAGATAGATGCTCAACCACTGAGCCACCCAAGTGCCCTTAAATCTAAAGACTTCTGGGCAGCCCGGGTGGCTCAGCGGTTTAGCACCTGCCTTCAGCCCAGGGCGTGATCCTGGAGTCCCGGGATCGAGTCTCACGTCGGGCTCCTTGCATGGAGCCTGCTTCTCCCTCTGTCTCTCTCTCTCTCTCTCTCTCTCTCTCATGAATAAATAAATAAAATCTTAAAAAAAAAAGACTAAAAGACTTCTAATTTGCTACTCAAGTGGCAGCTTGGGGGAAGCAAGTTGTTTTATAAAGAAGAATAGCAATACCGTTCCTAATTATCCCAGGACTGCCAGCATCGTCATCACCTGGGAACTTCGCTGGAGATGCGAATTTTTTTTTTGCTGGGGGGGGGGGTCTTATCCCAGACTTAAATGAATCAAATCTATTTTAACAAGACTTCCACTTGATCCCCGTGCACTTGGGAGCTAATGTTGTGAATTACTGCTGTGCTTGTAAGGAGGAGAAATCACTGAATGGAATGTGGATCGCGGTGAAGCCTTTCCTAGGTGTATGGCCTTGGACAGGTTATTTAAAGGCTCTTTTATAGGGCTGTAAATATTCAGTGTGAAAATACAAGAGAAATTTAACACTAGCACACAAGAAAACATTCGAAGATGAGATACTATTTAAAATTTTTTTTTAAAATTATTTATTTATTTATTTATTTATTTATTTATTTATTTATTTATTTATGATAGTCACAGAGAGAGAGAGGCAGAGACACAGGTGGAGGGAGAAGCAGGCTCCATGCACCGGGAGCCCGACGTGGGACTCGATCCCGGGTCTCCAGGATCGCGCCCTGGGCCAAAGGCAGGCGCCAAACTGCTGTGCCACCCAGGGATCCCTATTATTTAATAGCTTGTTGGAACTGCATAGAGTTAAGTACCTGGATTGTAATGCTGGAAGGGTTTTCACCAGGTTGGATGTGAGTTGCAGTGCGTGAATATTGTGACCATGCCTTAGAGGGCATTTTACTTGTTTATTTCTGGATTCTAGTTGTATAGTTTGTATAATCAAGATTGTTGGGTCAGGATATTCCATTGAAAGTTATAGCAGTGTGTGCTAATACCACCGTATTGGGCCTGTAGTATTTTTTTTTTTTTTGAAAGAAATAGTTTTATTTTGTTTTGTTTTTCTTTTTGACATTTATTTATTTATTTATTTATTTATTTATTATTTATTTATAATAAATTTATTTTTTATTTGTGTTCAATTTACCAACATACAGAATAACACCCAGTGCTCATCCCGTCAAGTGCCCCCCCTCAGTGCCCGTCACCCATTCACCCCACCCCCACCCCCTCCCCTTCCACCACCCTAGTTCGTATCCCAGAGTTAGGAGTCTTTCTGTTCTGTCTCCCTTTCTGATATTTCCCACACATTTCTTCTCCCTTCCTTTATACGCCGGGACACCTGCACCCCGATGTTTCTAGCAGCAATGTCCACAATAGCCAAACTGTGGAAGGAGCCTCAGTGTCCATCGAAAGATGAATGGATAAGTAGGCTCTATGCCCAATGTGGGGCTTGAACTCACCACTCTGAGGATCAAGAGTCTCAGGCTCTACTGGCTGAGCCAGCCAGGACCCCTGGAACTGTAGTATTTTTAAGAAAGACCTAAATAATTGTGTTAAAGAATAGTTTTTAATTCTTTGGCCTTTTGGTTTTTTCAGCTTAATTATACCTTCTTTTGACCCAGGCCTTGGTAACAAAGTAGGGTGGATAACCAGAGATAAGCCTTAGCCATAAAGCTGAGGGATGTTAATGACTTGGCGTGCAGAAGCCCAAGCTGAAGATGTTGCCATCCTTATCTTTCTTCCCCATGTGTCACATAGGTCCGGGAAGCCAACGTCGCCTTGTCATAACTGTTGCCTATACATCTGTTTTCTGGAAGCATTGCAGCAGCTAAGTTGGCAGTGCCTTTCACCTGCTGTTTTTTTCAGATTATCAGTTGCAGTGTTTACTTACAACTTTTCCCTTCCCTTTTCAGGGGGCCAGTGTGGGGGGAAGAAAAGAAAAATGTAGGATTTGAAGCAGTTGCCATAAGACCTAGACTCATTCCAATGTTGAAAAGGTCATTGCCACACCATGGCCTAAACAACATGTCACTTTGATTAGGGCACACTGTTCCCTGAGCCACACCATGACTCTTGTATACTGTGGGTGAGAGTTTTCAGATAAACATCAGTCACTTTGCATATTAGCTCCTATAAATAATTTTGTTAATACTACCATCAAATTAGCACTGTCCCATCATGAAACATTCATTTTTCAAGGGTCCTAAATAATTTTCTTGTTCTCTGTGTCAGAAAGGCAGGTCTCTAGCAGTGGTTTTGGTCAGACCTTGCTTTGAACCCTCCCTTATTGGGTTCATTAGACAAAGTAACATCCCCTTGGCCTTAATTTCCTCTTTAAAGTAGGAGTCATGGTGTGCTCCTCCTTCAGGACATTGAATTAAATGAAATAAAGTGCAAAGCCTGTCTACCACGTGAAGGCGGAGAGACCCAATAAATGCTGCAGTTGGACAGGGGGAAGAAAGTAGTTATCACTCCACAAATAACCTTACTGCATTCATTTCTTCATCCTACTTTTATAAATGAGGTAATTTTGTTATCGCCTAACTGCACTACTTTTTAAGTGGTAAAATCCCAAAGAGTCAGAACTTTCACATTATTTTGAGAGAAAGCACACACATGGAAAAAATTAAAACTCTAAAACCTGGTAGAAAAACACTATCTTCGATTTTATCACTGTAATGGAGCAAACTTCCATAAAATTGTTCTGGGTGTTTACTGGAAGGTCAAGGTCAGGGGGTAATTAGTATTTAAGTATCTTCATTTGGTTTACCACAACAGTCTGCTTTAGAGGGGACACTATTCTAGGAGGTGAGACTTCATTGAAAACATGCACTATGCATTATGTTCCATGAAATATTTCATGTCGTTTTTTCGTATATATATAAAACATGAATATATGAGCATAGAAAATACTTGAAAAGAGTCATACCAGGTCATACTTTTGTTTACTTGGCAATGCGTTATAATATGGAGATGGGGATAAATCTCTACATTTATGTAAAGTTATATACATGCACACATATATAAGCATTCTTTTTTTAATATTTATTTTTAAAGATTTTATTTATTTATTCATGTGAGACAAAGAAAAGAGGCACAGACACAGACAGAGGGAGAAGCAGGCTTCCCTCAAGGAGCTGAATGTGGGACTCGATCCTGGATCCTGGGATCACACCCTGAGCAGAAGGCAGATGCTCAACTGCTGAGCCACCCAGGTGTCCCAAGATTTATTTATTTTAGATAGAAAGGGAGCATGAGCAGGAGAGGGAGGGAGAACCTCAAGCAGGCTCCACTTCGGGTATGGACCCAAACACTGGGCTCAGTCTCATGACCCTGAGCTGAAGCCAAGAGCTGGATGCTCAACCAGCTGTGCTACCCAGGCACCCCTAAACATTCTTTTTATTTATTTATTGTTAAGATTTTTTTTATTTATTTGAGAGAGAGTGAGCAAGCAAGGAGGGAGTGGGAGAGAGAGAGGGAGAGAGAGAATCCAGGAGAGTCCATGCGGAGCAGGGAGCCTGGCAACAGGGCTCAATTTCACAATCATGAGATCATGACCTGAGCAGAACTCAAGAATCTGACACTTAACCAACTGAGTCACCCTCACCCAGGCACCCCCTAAACATTCTTTTAAAAAACCATGTAAAGGATAGAAATGATACTTTAAAAACATAGATTTCCTTTTATGCTTCAGTTCTTAAAGCAGTGGTCCTTAGGGTTTTTTTTTTTTTTTTTTTTTTTTCCTAGCAGGGAACCCGCTTCAGCAGAATCTTACCTGAAAAGCTCAGGAGCTAAGAGGCTTTAAGAGATGTTAAAGGGCACGGTTCTGCTTGCTGGTGCTCATCTTGAACTTTTTGCAGTGATGCTCCAAGGCACGTCAATGGAACCCTGGAGACCAGGGCACTGGGTGTGTAACTCTTCATCTGTGGGATAGAAATCCTCAAGAGACAGTTATATATCTGAAAAGTCATGCATTAAGGATTATTGTGAGTGGGATTCACAGACT